CCTGAGAGGATAGGAAAAGAGGCCTAAGGGGGAAATGGAGAAAGAGGTCTGGGGAAAGCAAGAGGAGATGAAGGCAATAGGGAGGATACGAGAGGCTTCTGTGGGGCAAGCCTGAGGGAGAGAAGGAGGAGAGGAGAGGAAAGGCTTCTGTGGGGCAAGCCTGAGGAATATACGAATGAGCAGAGGAGACCCCAGCAGGCTATACAAAAGTGGGAGAGAGGAGACTGACCACCATAACTCTACATGACCCAGGCCAGTAGAGGTGCCAGAGTGAGGGTCCAGTGTGGACCGGCAGCCGTATCAAGAGAGCCAGGAGAACCTGGACTCCAGCGGCCCTTTCGGGGGTAGCGCTATGACAATTGTTATAAGTGTACAGGATAAATTGAATTTTTTTTCTTCCTAGGGAAAAAAAAGGAATCATGACTTTCACTGTATTCTTTCTGAAGTTAGAAGTGGGAGAGAACATGTTGTTACCCTGAACCACACTACACATTGGAGTTTTGCAATGAAATATTCTGTTTAAAATATTTGTCTTCAAGCTGGAATTAGTTTTGGTCTCTAGCTTGGAGACAACCTGCTATGTCTTTCCCCAAAATCAATTGGAAAAAGCTACCTTCTAACATCTGACTATTTGCCAATAAATTGGTAATTGGTGTACAGATAATCAGATAAGAAGGGAAATTCTGCATATAAAATATTTCATTTTCTCCTTGAATTATGTTTTGGTAATAAGTAAAATGCATTGAAGAAGGGTTTTTTTAAAAACATATGGAGAATATAGCACTGTCTTCAAATAATCTTTGTGTTTGTGGTATGCTTTGCATGAAATGTTTACAAAGCAGTGGTTTTGTTATATATCTCAGTTAATGTTTTGTGTAAAAAATGCTAAATTTAGACTTTTACTTCTCATGATCTTGATGTTGTTCCTCTGTTGATGCAGTCTTGGACTGCATTGACTTTTTTGGCAGCTGCTGGCACACTGGTGGCACATACTTACATAATGGTTTGCTAGGACACCCAGATTCTTCTCAACAGTTACTACTATTGAGCTAGGTACTGGTAGTGGTGTCGTAGTTGGAATATAGTATTGCAGTCTATTTCTGCTGACTGCCGGCTGCCAGCAGTTTGGCAGTTCGATTCTCACCAGCTCAAGATTGACTGAGCCTTCCATCCTTCTGAGGTCAGTAAAATGAAGACCCAGATTGTTGAGGGCAATATGCTGACTCTGTACATCACTTTTGAAGGCTGTAAAGTCTAAGTGCTATTGCTACTACCTATTCTATAGCTGTGTATTTGGTTTTTCTTGCCTAAGTGCAGGACCTTAGTGATGGAGCTGTTTTTTATAGCAGAAATTTCAAAGGGATTTTTCTAAAATTATTCCATGCTTTCAAAAATTCTGTTTAGATTGCTTTATGACCTCTTTATCTTAATTTTCCACATAGAAAGTATAATTCAGAGGCCTACAGAATTTGCACATTTCAGGATTAATGTGATTTTTTTTTACAAATTACATGGAAAGATTTTAGATTAACAGTCAACAACAATCTAAAGGATTGTTTTTCTATCAAGTCACCAAAATTTAAGAAGAAAAAAGAAATAAATGTGTGGGATTCTAAAACTTTGTATTTTTATGTAAATTGATACTTTAGTGATATAGATGGGATTAATGAGGATTGGTCTAAAAGCCTCTATTTCTAATGTAGAGGGGTGCTCTGTATAAATATGGTAGAGGAGGCATGTCAAATTCAAGGCCCGTGGGCCAGATCCAGTCCATGGGGTGCTTAGATCTGGCCCGTGGGGCCACCTGGGAAACAGCAAAGTACTGGCCTGCGGTGCCTCTGCCAGTGAAGTGGAGCTGGTGAGGGAAATAACAGAGCTCCGTTTTCTCTTGCAGAGGGCTGCAGGAGGCCATCGCAGCCAAAAACAGAGCCCAGGAGTGACCCTCACAAGCTCCGTTTTTGCTGGGAGATTGCTAGCAAAACAAACTACTAGCAAAAATGGCATTTGATTACACAGGTGACCTTGAGCTGACCACACTCACCTCTCCCCCCTGGCCCTCAATGAAATTGAGTTTGACACCCCTGTGGTAGAGTATCCTCCCCTTAGTTTGACTGAGGGGTCCCATGTCAAACTATACATCACATCGTGACTTCCTGTAAGCTGACAACATAAACCAGTCCAGTATCTGATTTTTTAAAATATAAACAATGCTGCGCTTCAATGGTTATATTACCTAGACATTGATATTTGAACATAGATCTTTTTAACATTTATATTTTATTGAGTTTTGCTAATCTAGATTAAATGTTAATATATATTGCTAGTTCATGTATGATATGTCATGTGCTAAAATAAATACATTTGTAATATGTTAATTTTGAAGACTGTTCTGGTTTAATAATAATAATTTATTGACTGGGGGTATGTTGGGTTAGTGGTTAAAGACTGAGCTGGTCAGCTGAAAAATCTGACAGCCAGGGCTTAAGACCCCAATGCTGCAGAACAGAGTGAACTCCTTCCTGTCCTTGCTCCAGTTCCTGCTGACCTAGCAATTCGAAAGCATGCAAATGTGAATAGATTAATATTAACCATTTTGATGGGAAGATAACAGCGTTCAGTGCGCTTTGGCATATAGTCATGCTGGTCACACGACCATGGAAATGTCTTTGGACAGCACTGACTCTCTCAGCTAAGAATTGGAGATGAGCACAGCCCCCTAGAATCAGACACAAGTGGAGAAACTTTTACCTTTACCTTTAGTTTATTTACTATTGTTTTTATTTTAATGCAACAATTTAAATTGTTGCTAAATTATGAAAACCGTTTGAAATAGGAAAAATATATTAGAAGCTCATGCAGTTATTTTTGGATATGGATTTCTAAAAAAAAAAAAAAAGAATTCCAAAATTCTCCTTTTGTAATAGACTGCGGTGGCTCATAATAGAAAGGTTCCTAGATATAACTAAGCATCTGGATAAATCATATCTGGTATAAAATGGAAGTGAATCTTTTCTCTCTTTTCTGTTCCCATTTTCTGTTCTCATTAACCTAAAATATAGTACTAACTGTACTCAATATCAGTTTTAGCTGTATCGAGAGTTTTCTCACAATCTCCACCAGTTACTTCTGATTCTTTACTCTACTTCACTTAAGCAATGGCTTATTGTTAAGGACCTACAGGTATAGAGCTGCAGAGGCAAGAGATGCTGAAGGGAAACATCCAACATAGGTATAGAAATCTGTTTGCTTCATATTACATATAGTCCAGGAATAAAGTGAAAGAATGGTGTAGAAGGAATGTAGCAAAGATTTGTGCAACCTTAAATCTTACTCCCGTTTTCTGGATTGAAAAAAGTGTGATTAACTTGAACAAGCTTCAAAGGCAGAGAGGAAACATTCCTATCCAAGTAGGAATATGTTATGTGTTTTACTTATTATCAGTTGGATGTACTAAGTTGTAGTGTGACTTTTAAAAAGAATTGGTTGTAATCCTGCAAAACTACTGCATGCTGCATGCTGAGGAATGGTAATTTTTATTTATTTTTATTTATTTATTTATTTGATTTGCCAATTGTTTACAAGATAATAAGTATAAGTGTATACATAGTTGTGAATACATGAAATGGGTACATATAAGAAAAATAAAACAAGAATAAGAGAAACAATAGGACAGGGACGGTAGGCACGTTGGTGCGCTTATGCACGCCCCCTACAGACCTCTTAGGAAAGGGGTGAGGTCAATAGTAGACAGTCTAAGGTTAAAGTTTTTGGGGTTTGGGGAAGAAACTACAGAGTCGGGTAGAGTATTCCAGACATTGACCACTCTGTTGCTGAAGTCGTATTTCCTGCAATCAAGTTTGGTGCGGTTAACTTTGAGTTTGTATCTATTGTGTGCTCTTGTGTTGTTATGGTTGAAGCTGAAGTATTTATTGACAGGTAGGACATTGCAATGTATGATTTTATATACCATGCTTAAATCAGACCGAAGACGGCGTAATTCAAGGTTTTCTAGTTCTAGAATTTCAAGTCTGGTGGCATAAGGTATTCTACAACAAGTAGAGGAGTGGAGAACTCTTCTTGTGAAATATTTCTGGACTTTCTCAATTGTGCTAATATCAGATACGTAATGTGGGTTCCAGACTGATGAACTGTATTCGAGTATTGGTCTAGCAAATGTTTTGTATGCTCTAGTTAGTAGTGTGATATTACCAGAGAAAAAGCTACGTAGGATTAGGTTAACAACTCTTAATGCCTTTTTGGCTATGTAGTTGCAGTGGGCTCTAGCACTTAGATCATTAGAGGTGAGTATTCCAAGGTCCTTTACAGAGCTTGGGTCATCAACGAGATCTTGATTATTCAGCTTGTATTTTATTTTCTGATTTTTTTTGCCAATATGTAAGACAGAGCATTTATTTGTTGAGATTTGAAGTTGCCATTTGTTTGACCATTCTGATACATAGTCAAGATCTTTTTGTAGGGTAGCAGTATTGTCTGTGGTATTGAACAGCTTTACATCATCAGCGAAAAGAATGCAATTGCTCTTAATATGATCACAGAGGTCATTTATGTAGAGTATGAAGAGAGTTGGTCCTAGAACACTACCTTGGGGGACACCACTATTGACAGGTACAGAATTTGATAGGACGCTCCCAATTTTGACCATTTGTTGTCTGTTTGACAGGAATGCTTCTATCCAGTTATGCAGTTGTCCAGAGATACCATAGGATTTTATTTTTAGGAGTAGTTTGTCGTGTACCACTGAATCAAAGGCTTTACAGAAGTCTATGTAGATTGCGTCTATTGCTTTGCCCTGGTCGAATTGTGTCGTCCATATGTTTTTGCAGTGTAAGATTTGCAGATTACAGGATAGTTTTTTTCTGAAACCAAATTGTTTATTGGAGAGTAGGTTGTTTGTCTCTAAGTGGAGGATGATGGATTGGTTAATAATTGATTCCATGACTTTACAGGTGACGCAGCATAAGGAGATTGGTCTGTAATTTTCAACTAGGCTTGGGTCTCCCTTTTTGAAGATGGGGATGACTGTGGCTTGTGACCATAGGTTAGGCAAGGAGCTGGTCCTGAAAGATTTTTCAAAGATTATGCTTAGAGGTTTGGCTATGGCAGTGGATAGCTTTTTTAAGAAGTAGGCACATAATCCATCCGGTCCAATAGATAGAGATGGTTTTAGATTGCGTAGTGCTTTTTCAACATTGTCTTCTGTAAAATCGATATGTATTAGATCATTGTGGTTATCTGTGGTACGGCTAGGAAATACTGGGCATGATCCATTGCTGTTTACAAATACTGAGCCGAAGAATGTGTTAAAGATGTTGGCTTTAATGGTGTCATCGTTGCAGTCTTTACCATCAGGTCCTATCAGGGGTGGGATGGACCTTGAGTCTTTTAGTTTGTTGTTTACAAAATTGTAGAAAGCACGGGTGGAATTGGTGCTTAGAAGGTTTTCCTCTTGTTTAATGTGATAATTGGTGCATTCGGTCTTTATCTGGTGGCATAAATTTTTGTATCGGCTTTTGAAATTGGCAACGTGACCAGATTTGTTTTTCCGCCAGAGTGATCTCTTTTTGGATTGAAGTTTCCTTATTGTTATGGGTAATCTGCTTTTTTGTTTTGTTTTGGGAGTTGTTGTTGGTACATATAGTTTGATGACTCTTTTGACTTCAAGTAAAAATATGTTGTAATGGTCTTCAACAGTATTGCATCCAGTGAATAGAGATTGCCAATCAAGGGATGAGAGATCGTTGTCTATAAGATCATAGTTGCCTTTTTTGAAGTTACAATTGGGGATTACATCATTGTGGTGATTTTTGTGTGGGCGTAAGTTGAGACAAAAGTCAATCATATTGTGGTCACTGCTGTAGATCTTAGATGAAATATTTAAAGATAGTCATCACTCCTTTGGTAGATGAAACATACAGATAGTTATTTAATGTTTGGGGTTATTTGGGGATGGAGGATGCACAATAGTTTTGAAAGGAAATGAACAGACAGGTTAATAGTGCAAAAATCTACAGAAGGTTGATTGTAGAAAATAGCCAGCTTGGAAAAACTTAAAATATGAGCTTATTTTGTCTAGCTAACTTGCAGGAAGTCTGCAGAGAGGTCAAAAAGTCTTAATGGCTGCAACGATCATATACTCAAAATCCTTATGATACATGTAAAAAGGTCAATGCCTCAATTGCATGGTAGCGGCTGCTACCTTTGCTTTTTTGGCCCTTTTCTTGTAGCCATCCTGTAAAGTATAAAGCAGTATAAAGCAGCATTCCAGGTGATTGTATTAGAAATACAAAATAAATCATCTGAATATCACATTCTTAGTTTTTTGTTGTCTTTTCATCCCATACCTACTTTTTAAAATTATTTTCATGATAAAAGATTAGACATAAATCATAGTTGACCACAGTCAGATGGTACTGAGAAAGCTGCAAAACAAATATTCTGAATTTCTATTGCATATGATTCAGTGACAAAACAAAACAAGCTCTTTTCTACCAAAATATTCTTTACTACTATGACTTGTGATAAATTCTGATGATTCCTCATAGAGTGACAATATTAAATTATAGCTAGATGTGATAATTTGTTTACCTACTCCCCTAATTGGCCAGACAACAAGCAATACAATTTCATTCAGTTTAATTATCTTACCTGAGGGAAGAAAATAACTTTCCTTTCTTCACACATGTAATAGATGTAGGATAAGATAAGTGTTTAGGTTCAAAGTTATGGAATTTGGCATTTTTAAGAAGAAAATTCCATTATAAATCAACCCTTCCTTTTTTTGTTCATCTGTCTCCTTTTTGCCTTCCATCATTCTTCTTCCTTCTTTTTGCTTCCTTGTTCTTTTCATGTTCCCTGTCAGGAAGGGACTGCGCTGAAGGGCCAATTCGGTACTACACGGCGCCGGCAGAGACTAGCAGCAGCAGTGGCTACAACAGTGAGTGGACTCCTCAGTCAAGGCACCTCCAATTTTAAAGATGAGAAACTGTATACCTTGAACATGCACTTACCATATAGAGAGTTGGAGCCCTTCAGAGGCGGGTCCCCTTGGAGAAGTTTAAAGGGCAAGGTTGGAAAACCTAGCTCTTTAAGGGGGATGGTGGCGGAATACAAACTTTTATATTTATATATAAATAGGCTCATAAAGTTCTGATTTATAGAAATTTCCAGAGGTTTTTAAGCACCCTATAAAATCTAGCCAAACTTCATGGACTTTAGATCTTGTTGATCCTGTAGAGAGAAAGTGTGATTCTAGCAAAAACCCTTCCGTTTGATTGGACTGTAAATTGTATTGTTTATATAGCCATTTCTCACATAAGTGGTTGTATTTCTATTTTCTGAGCTATGTTTTATAGTTATATAAGTTATATAAGTATGTCTGTCTATCTATCTATCTATCTATCTATCTATCTATCTATCTATCTATCTATCTATCTATCTAGGTGTGTTCGGGAAAAGACCCTAACACACCTAGACCTACATACCTGTACCCGTGAAAATCTACGAAAATCTATGAAAACGTGTGTGTGTGTGTGTGTGTGTGTGTGTGTGTGTGTGTATGGTATTCAGCTTCGTTCGGGTATTTTCCCACGTGATTATAGTTGTAGTAATGTTTCGGCAGAATCTCATCTGCCATCATTAGGCTTCTGTATTCTGTATTAATGAACACAATACAGACGAACACAATACAGAAGCCTGATGATGGCAGATGAGATTCTGCGGAAACGTTGCTACAACTTTAAGAGCACAACTATAATGATGTGGGAAAATACCCGAACAAAGCTGAATACCATACATGTAAGTACCCGCGAAAACTTAAGAAAACATATATATATATAATAGTTATATAAGTTATAGTTATATAAAATATATATTTATATTTGCCAATAATTGTTGCTAGTACCATGGTTATTATATTGGTGAAAAGTAGCCTGTCTCCTTCCCTCTCCTTCACCTCTCCCATGACAGAAATTAACTTTTTTTATACATGGCCACCTATGGGAGAGTCAGTTTTTTGTAGTTGGGGGCCCAACTGAAATGCCTTTGAATGGCATTTTAGGAAACACCCTCCAACATTGGTCAAACTGAGTGAAAGAAAGAAAAAATGTCAATTTAAATTAAATGTAAACTAAATTAAGTTTAATGAATATGCTCCATCCTCATACTAGTATTAGTATTTTTCCGTGACATGTGGAAAAGTTGTAATTAGGAGCAATAATTGGAGTGGCTGCTCCCAAGAATTTGGAGGGCCCCCTAGCAGGGGTGGGATACGACAGGGTTAACTACCAGTTCGGAATTTACGAGCTTCCCTGCTTCCCTGTTAATCGTCATTAGCACGCTGCCGTGCCGAGAAGCAGCCTTTGAAACAGCCCTCATTTCTTGTTTTTTTAACTGCAGCTGTGCCTTGTTCGGCAGCTGAAGTTGAAAAATCAGGAAATAAAGATCAGGTAAGAGCCCGGGTGGGTGGGTGGGCAAAAACATCAGCAGACATAGAACCGGTTCTATGTCTGCTGCTCTTCAGAGCTACCGGTTCTACAGAGGTGGACAGAACCGGTAGAAACCCACCCCTGCCCCCTAGGCTTTGTGACCCCAGAGTATGTGCACCTTTTCTGTTAGTGAATTCTGTGAGCTAAAAAGAAAGAAAGGCTTAATCACTACATGTATTTCTCTCCCTAGAAGAGTAGCAAAGTTAAATTGTGGGAGAATACAGAGGTTTCATACCTGAAAAGCAAATCAGATATAGAATTTAATTCAAATTGGAAACATTTATAAATAATGATTTTATATATAGACTTGTAACACATTCCAAATTTGGGTTTCTCTTAACTTGAAGTTTTAATGCGTTTATTTCAGTTAATTATTGATTATTGATTTGATCCTATTAATGGAAATTATACCAGACATTTGATATGAAGCATTTATCTAATGCTTGCCTTGACATTTTAATTTAATTTTATGTAGCTTGTAAATCTATTCTTTTCCCTTTTAAAAATTGTTCTGCTCTTGGATATTTTAAATATCGCCAAAACAACAAAATCAAAAGAAAAATACGTAGCCAGGCAATTGATTTTCATAAAACTCAATATGAGTTACACATACCATATAAATTAAATTTATATAGTATGTATAACTAGAAAACTACACACACAAACACACACATACATATATATTTAAACTGTGGATGCTTACTGAGAAAGGGTTTTAATATAATTATGATCTTAGTATAATTGTTAAATCCACTTTCCTCCTGAAGATTGAAAGATCCAAAATGTATTTGCTTGTTTTTTATCCCACTCTTTTTTTTTTAAATAACTCCCCTTCCAAAAAATCCAAATGAGCTAAAATGGAGTGATGATAAAACTAACAAATGCCTACATGTGTTGTATTTGCGCACACGCGTGCACGCACACACACACACACACACACACACACACACACACACACATTCACACCCCAGGCTGTTAGTAAAAGGCTATTCAAGTTCTGATGCTCATTTTGGAGTGAACTCAGGGAAATCTGAATAGCATTAGTTCTCAGTTCAGTTGCTTAAGTCATACTGGTTCTTTTAATGGAAAAGAAGATTTCTGTACTAGCTCCACTAAGGAATTCCTTCATGTTATGTTATATTACATTATTAGATAAGTTTGATTACTGCTCCTATCTCAAAAAGTCATATTACTACCATTATGAGGACCCAAATTGTTGTGGGCAATGTGCTGACTCTGAAAAACGCTTAGAAAGGGCTGTAAAGTACTGTAAAGCGGTATATAAGTCTGAGTGCTATTGCTATTATTATTAATATTTAATTTTCCTTTTAAAGAACTAAGACATCTAATAGAAGGACCAGTGGTGGTTATTTGACCAGTTCTGCCCGGTTCTGGAGAGCCGGTAGAAGCGATGAGCAGTGGAGACTGAACTGGTTCTCTCCGCTGCTCTAATGGCTCTGCCGTTGGGCCCACCTGCCTGCCCGGGTTCCCATACTCACCTTTATCCACTGAATTTGAAGCGCAGCTGCTTTGCGCGGCACAGAAGAGTGCTGCGCGGCAGCTGCTGAAGCAACCAGGATCATGCAGGCTTGCAGGAGGTGAGTTAGAACGCCTCTGCGCCTGCGCAAACGCCTCTGTGTGTGCATGCGCGCAAAGCGCACCCACCAAATCAGTGGCAACAATATTTGAATCCCACCACTGAGAAGGACCAATCAATATAATTAATGAAATAAAGTTGGGTTAATTTGAATAAGTGAAAGTAGAAGAGTACACACATAATTCAATAACTCAAAGACAAAATAATTATAATGTAAGATAATTTTTATTTACGTTTGACTCCTTTGATAGGAGTCCTGCAACTACCAAGGGACAGACAGTTCATGAATCTGAATTGCCAAAAAAACGAGAATACCTGAGACTTCTATAACGAGATTTTCTGATATTTAAAGTAACAAGTGACTGTGTGGCTAATTAGCATCTTCATATATAAAATACATTTATTTCATTATGAGCACTGTAATACAAAATATTAGATAATTGAAACAATTCAGTAGAATATTACAAATGACAAAAGCAGTGTATGTTTACCAAAAGACATTATTTAAAATAACAATATTAGTAACAATTAAAAATCAGCTAATGACGTAAGTTACTGCAGTGACCAGGTTTGATGCCAAGAAAATTTTAAAAGTGTTCCTCCCACCTTAACTTTCCATATGTAGGACATTTTAAATTTGAGACATTTAAGAAAGTCATTTATTGTACGTATCGCTGGACTTCTTGTTCAGACAGGCTTATTTGGTAGGAAACTACCTTTGATACAACCAAATCCTTCTTAACATAAAAAATAAGAATTGGAATTGTGCTTACAGCTGGACCGACCAAATAAATCAGAAATTGTAGGTAGTCCTAGACTTAAACTATTGGCTTAGTGACTGTTTGAAATTACAGTGGCACTGAGAAAAGTGACATGATTGTTTTTCACGCTTATGACCACTGCAATATCCCCATGGTCATTTGATCAAAATTTGGACCCTTGAAAACTGGGATGTATTTATGACAGTTGCAGTATCCTGGGGTCATGTGATCAACATTTGCAATCTTCTGACAAGCAAAAGCAATGATGAAGCCAGATTCACTTAACGTCCATGTTATTAACTTAACAACTGTGGCAATAGAGGTTGTAAAATGGAGCAAAATTAACTTAATAACAGTCTTGCTTAGCAACAGAAATTTTGGGCCAATTGTGGTTGTAAGTTGAGGACTACATATATTTAGAAGCGGAATGGTGCTGAATACAAAATGAAGGAAATTAAGTAATTTTTCAAAAAATTATTAAAAGCTACCCTGTTTCTCCAGCAATATGGCCTCCCCCAATAGGAAGTCCCAGCATGTTTTCTTGGCATGAAATGAAATTAAGCCCCTCGCCCCAAATTAAGGCCTATATTAAAACATGCGAAATGGGGGGAATGGCGGGAGGCTTGCTGCAGTGTTTGGCGCAGCCACGTGCGGCCAGCCAGGGCTCCTCCCTGCAACCGGAGCCTGGTGGAGACACTCGGCTTCAGGTGCAGCTTCCCTGGACGGCAGGTCTGGCGGAGAGAGCCCAAAGCCTCCCGTCCTTTCCACCCCTCACCCAGCCCGTCCCTGTCCCCATGCATCTCCAAACTCACCGGCAGCTCCAAACGCTGCAGCGGCATGGGCATCGGGCAGAGGTGCTCACTCGGCGGGGCTCAGCTCAGAGGAGGATGCGGCGCGGGCTGTCGCCTTGCCTCCCTGTCCACGGATGGGTGAGCGCTATCACTGCCTCGGG